ATATAGCAAAAAGACTCTCTGCTAGGTTTAATTTCATCAAAATTGAGGCAGTTTACAGGCAGTGAAACTTTCCTTTTTCCTTTTTTTTCCTTTCTTTTCTCTCTCCCTTTTTCCTCTTGCTTCTAGAATAATAGCCCAACAATCAGTTATTTAATCCAATACATTTCCTTCAATATGTACTCTTACACAGAAGGAAAGGGGTGGAGATGAGAAGGATTTCCAGCAAGGGGAAACTACATGAGCAGAAACACAGGAAGTCTGTGAAATGGGGGGTGGGTAGAGGTAAGATAGGGATGGTAGGATTGAGAAGGAAGCAAAGTGTACAGTTAGGCTTCAAAGGCCTTCAGATGTTTGCAAAGGTCTTTGTAGGTTTTGTTAAGGAATTTTTGAGGGTATTTTTTTCTTTGTAAGCAATGAGAACCATAGGAAGTTTTGAGGCAGGTAGGGGTGGAGGGGAAGATATTGTTTAGATAGTCTTTGGGTTTCATGTTGGTTTACTTAGCTTTATTCCCCCCCAAGTAAAACTCATTCTATTGTGGAAGGGAAAATAAATAGGAAGGGGAAGAAACTAGTCAGAAATAGCAGTTTGAAGGGTTATTGCAATACAGAAACCCAAATCTTTGGCTTGGACTCATGCATGGAGACAGAGAGGAAAGGACAGATTTAAGAGATATTTAGGAGGTTCAAGTGACCTGACTTTGGTGCTTTTTAGAATGAAAAGAGACAGAGAGATGGAAAGTTCAGTATGACTATGATTTCCTATACTCAATGTGTGGATGATGGTGCCATTAAATGAAATAAAAAATAAAATGCAGGCAGGAGAGAGATTTAAAAAGGAGGGAGAATTAAAGAGAATATTATAAAAAATTGGTTTTGGGTTTATTTGCAGAATGTCCTGTTCAGTGTTGTACTGGTAAATGTTAACTGGCTTTCCAAAAACGAAAAGAAAGGAAAACTCTGATTGTTTTACATTTCCACTAGTGTAAATGTTTGCACCACTGTCTGATTTTAAGCTGGTCCTGTGGAAGACATGTATTGCAGAGTTGGGTAGAGATACACATAGTCAGCTCTGAGTGGGAGTGAGCCAATTCTAGCACACCATTGGCCCTGCTGGATACTCTTCAGTGCATTAGGGAGGAAAATCAGGAGCTCAGCATAGAGGTAAGAGCTGATGATACAGGATTTAGGTGAAGCCAAGGGAGTGGAGCCTTTAGAAATAAAAAGAGGAAACCTCTATAGGAGACCTATATATAAGAAAAGAGCAATTAAGAGCAGTTAAAGAGGCAGGAGAGTCAGAAAAGAAACATTCATGAAATACAAGCGAAGAACTAGTTTCAGGAAGAAAGTTGTAGTCAATAGTGTCAAATACCAGTGATCAGGTGGCCTAAGGACTTAAGAGGTCATCAGCCTTACCAATTAAGCAGTCTTTCTGTGCTTGAGATATTTTTCTATTTTTCTACATTAAAAATATTTTATAATGATAAGAAAGAAAGTACATTTTCCCCCTTCTCTCTTTTTAAGTAGGTCATTAATGAGTTTAGACAGAACAAATTCAGAGTGGTAGGGACAAGAGTTTGCCTAAAATGGATGGGAGAGTGAATGAAAGGGAGGGAATACAGATGAAATCTTATCAGGAGTTTGGATTTTAAGGGAAGGAGGGCTTGTAGGAGGCAGGTTGGAAGGATGGCTTTTAAAAAGAATTGTAACTCACTGATCAACAAGTAACTCAGGAGAACATATCTGTCTATGATCCAGGCTAACTTGCTGATCCCAGTGACAGGCAGAACAAACATCTTAAGTCCATAAGCGGTAATGGTTTTGAATCTTGCTTACATGTCAATAGGAGTCACATTAATACAGAAGGGGATTACACTGGTCCATTTAAATTACATATGGAGGTATTGAGAACCTATGTGATAACATGGTTTATTCTACATATAATGGTGCTTCCTTGTACCTTTTTCATTTGAACATTGGTTACCTAATGCTTTTTTCTGTGTCTAACCATGTATTGGAATTAAACTGACTCAAATATGAACTATAAATCCATCCTTATATGACAAAAGGATTATTTTTTGTTTTAATTTTGAGGCCCCTCTCATTATCCAGGAATTCTATTAAAAAAATCTAGCTAACAGGTCTTCTTAACTGACAAACACAGATTGAAAAGTTATTTTTAGAATACTTTTTTTATTTGTCACTGACCTAAGCAAGGCCTTTTAGGTAATTCCTAACTTGAAAGTGAATGACAAAATTGAGCTTTTCTGTAGCTCCATGACCTCTAGCAGGGTCTCAAAGGCCACAGCTGCCTGAAGGGCAATTCTGTAATTAGAAGATGCCAGGGTCATCTCAGAATAGAACCTCAAGCTGCCCAGGCTAGATTTCTAGAATCAGCTTCCCCAGAACAACAGCAACAAAGAAGGGTCTTCTTATTTATTTGGAAAGGGTCACTTAGTTGGGTACTTGGAGTTTTTGTGTTAATGTTTGGGGGAATCAAAAGACTTGGAGAAAGCTCACTGAAGCATACTCTGAAACAGATCAATATATGACATTCAAGGAAGAGAATTCCCACTTACAAACTTTCTCAAGGGATACATTCTCTTAGGCCCTAACTTTTGGAATTCAGCATTTCTGTAATATGAACCTGTCACATTTGCAAAGCATAGGCTTGGTGTCAGTAGACTTACTCCCTTGTGTCACCAGGCCAAATCACTTTGCCTCTTTGGGGGCTTGGGCTGTTTGACTGGTAAAACCAATGAGACTGATAACCATGTTTCAAACATTTCACTGTGTTCATGTATTCATTGTAGGGGGGTGAGCAGATTCTCATAGGTTGTTCTCAGTTAAAAATGATTAAGTTTGGCATTGGGACCGTAGACTTATATATTTAGAATCAATGGCTGTCCTATCTTGGGCTTCCATTTTCTTCTTAGGCTCACTTCCTTTTTCCATCATCCTTGTTGTCTTACTTGTACAGGACTTACTGCCACTTATTCCCTGGTAGAACAACCTAAGGGGTTACCTTAATAGGGCTGCGCTTTGGAATCATAGCCTTCAAAATTACAAAAAAATTGATTGGTAGTACAATTTTAAGCACAGTGTTGGATGGTTTTGGGATGAGGTGGGGAAATGGAGAGTCAGGAAGACCTCATCACTCCCAAATATCACACTTGGAATGGCAACACCTCCTCTAGGAGCTATCCTTTATATCTAGAAGGTCAGAGATTACTTTTAACTTTTTGCTAGTCCTGGAGTTTTAAAAGTTTAGCATGGGAAAAAATTTATAGGCCATGGCTGGTACCTGAAAATGACATTAAGAGTCATCTAACACTCTCTTTGTTTATAATGACATTCTTACAAAGTGCTCAAATGAACATAATTCACTTTCAGAAACCCCTGTGAGGAAGGGAGATCATACAGATTCTCTCCATTTTACAGATGAAAAAATGGAGGCATAAAGTTTCAGATCATGTGGTTTGGTCAAGTTTGACCCCAGAACCCAGTCTCTTGGCCAGGACTGTTGTTTGACCCAGATAAGAGTGACCTCTATCCCTGGCCCTGAGCTGCAGAAAGCTGGGCTCCAGCCCTCCTCAGGCTTCAGCACTTCCTACAGGTGAGTTTACAAGGCCAAGGAGCCATACCACCAGAGTTATGAGTACATGGAGCCGCAGAATTCCTTGTCCTAAGGCCCCTACGTGCTCTTCCAGGGCCTGTATGAAACTCCTCACCAGATTTGTCCTGGTGTTACCAGAACCACTGATATGGACCTGGGCTCAAGTTGTGGTCTTTACTGTAGGGTGGAGGGGGCTTGGTCCCTGAGGGTCTGCAATGCACACGGTGGAAGTTTTTCTGGAATATGATGGAGCTGGGAGTAAGAAGAGAAGGGGCTTGGGGGCCAGCTCTCCTTTTCCACCACATTCTTGCCAAAACTCAGGTAAAATAAACTGTGAGCTCAGAGTCTGAATGTGAATCTGCCCTTCTGGGTTGCCTCACAGGTATCTTTATCAAGGTAGTAGACATTTATTTTAAAATTTGTTGACTTGATATACGACTTAATATTTAGACTTAAGCATGTGGGCCTCCGTTTGTACTGTCACCTCTATTCCCCAAATGTTATGTGGGCCATCCTGCTCCTGACTGTCAAAGCCAAAGTCAGAGGAAGAAGCTGGAAACTGGAATGGTTATATAATTTTACACAACTGCTCATCTTTAGCTCACTTTGCAAATCTGTAGAAGCCAAATACAAGCTCTCTGTATATATCAATGGTACATTGATATAATGAAAATAAAAAGGAAGCTGGTTCACATTGTTCCATCATTTTCAGCCACCTTCCCTGCCTCAGTTTGCAAAGAGAAGGAACAAGAGCTTTTCATGTGCCCTCCCAGGACCTGGGAGACCCAGGATGGGAATCCCAAAGGCAGTTAAGTCGCCTACTGAATACCTAAGTCAGGGTTTGTGGAGCAAACAAAACACCCAATTATCCAGAGGACTGTCCACCTTCCCCCACATTCTAGGCATTTGAAAGGAAAGAAGGCCTAAACGGTTGGCGTCCTGAGGGGTTTCAGCCTAGAATTTTTCTCTCCCTCACTCTTTCTGGGTGACTAAAATGACAAAGGAAAAAAAAAATTGCTGAAAACACGAGTTTAGAGGAAGCGATTCTCACTAGTGCTATTAGCTGCCCGGAACGTGGACGAGTCTCCCGCGCAGCCCCCCGCGTTTCCCGGCCGCTCTAGGCTGGCAGGACAGGGTGGGACAGAGGGCGCCGATCCTGGGCCCGACGATACCCGCAACACCCCCACCCCTCTCCCTCTGGCCCGCAAGGCTGCCTGGAGCTGCCGGACGTCGCCCGTTTAAGGGGCGGGGCGCGGCTCCACGTGCTTTCTGCTGAGTGACTGAACTACATAAACAGAGGCCGGGAAGGGGGGCGGGGAAGGAGGGAGAGAGCAGGCTTTGACCGATAGTAACCCCTGCGTTCAGCCGAATCTATAAAAGGAACTAGTCCCGGCAAAAACCCGGTAATTCTGAGGGAGAGAGAGAGTGGTACAGGGACCTACACCTCTCTCCGGGCGCAGGTGGGCAGAGCAGGGAGGGGGCGCTCAGGACCAGAGCCCTTATAGCCAATTTCTGGGGGCGGTTAGCTCCTCCCCCCCCTTTTTCCGAAGGTTCTTCAAGGGGTGCGGGAAAGAGACGCAAACACAAAAGTGGAAAACAGGTAGGCTCTCCAGTGACCTGGGGGTTGTTATTTTGTTTCGCGGCCGAGGCTTTGGGAAGCGCTCGGTTTCCGGGTTTTTGATCCCACCCCCCCACAGCCTCACCTCTGGCAATTCTAAGTGTGGGGAGGACGTCCTAAGACTAGCTTTGGCGAACAGAAGGCGCAGCGCTGTTGCTGTCGCTGCTCGCCAGGCGGTGGACCGCGGGGAGCATCCCTGGGAGCTGGGAGCGGAGACTCGTTCGCAGTTCCTCGGGGGCAGTGGGATCAGGGGCTTCTGATTGTGCCGGGGACGATGCTGCCGCATTGGGGCAAGTGGCAGTTCTGTACCGAGCGCTTCTCTTTGTTCGAAATTGCCTGAGCCGGCTGGAAACCTTTCTGTCTGCTGGTCGGTGGGCGCCCACCGGGACAAATGCCAACACTGTGTTCCCACTCCGTTCGTAAGAAGCTGGTCTGAGTTGGATTCAGACCTGGGGATCGACTCCATGCGCCCCCAGTCTGGAGCAACGCGTTCTTGATTCTAAAGAACTGGACCTGGGAGGTGTCCCAAGTGAGGTCCGTAGCGTTATTGTTAACCTGAGGCCTGGGGGCTTTGTTTGATCTGGGGGATCCTGCCTGCGGTCTCTGCGCTCACCCGAAGCGGTATCCTTGGTGCAGCTTGGGGACGAGTTTTGTTTCTTTCAGAAACAGACTTAAGACAGAGAGTCTGCGGAAACCTGGAACTGAGGTGCCCATTCCCCAGTTCCCCCATCTTTCTGCCCTTTGCTGCTTGTTTCTGGCGGACAGCTTCAGGCCAGGCACGGATGGGGAAGCTGGGGCGAGACGTGCTGGGGAATGACCGGGAGTAACCCCGGCGGGCGGCGCAGAACTCCGAGCTCAGCAGCTGGGCAGGGCTCCGCGTTGGGGGCAGGGCGGGCTGTGCGTGGGCCGCCGGTGACCCTGCGGGACTGGCCCGCAGCGCCTCCTGGCCGGGTGGCCTGGGAATCGGCCCGTGGCCGGAGCGGGGCTGGGTTTTACAAGGCGTTGTCGCTTTCGGGTACCGACCAAGATCCGGTGAAGACGGGTGGTTGCAGACTGGGAGGAAGATCGCGGGAAAGCCTGGCTGGTTGTTTTTTTTGTTAGAATGATTTCCGACTAACAGACCGTTGCTAAATGGGAAGGTTCTTGGAGCATGGGCCAGTGCCAGGGTTGTGTGTAGATGTAGGTACCTCTCTTTCAGAACTAACACAAAGAAGAAAATAAACGAGATTCTAAAAGTGGTGGGGAGGTGGGGGTGCGGGTAGGGAGAGAGAGGGAGAGAAAAAACAACCATCTGGCCCTGGAGGTAGTTGACCCTTCTTTTGCAGCATTGATGTCATCAACTTTTCAGTGATACTTTACAAAGTGAGTGGGTGGTATATGCATTCACATAATAGAGGACAAATTCGATATTTAGAAAATTTTCCTTGGTAATGAAAATCAGCAAGTTACTTTCTAAGGTCAGATCCCTCTCACTCCCCAAAGAACACCTCATAAAATTTTATGAGTTCAAAATTAAGAGTTTTACTGGTTCTTTTAACAGTAGTTTGGGACCCAGACCTATGTTTTGACCTTCTTTCCAGACAAAATTTAAATCCCAACTAAAAAAGTACTTAATTTCTCATTTTCTCTTTCATTTCAGCCCATTTTTCTCATATCAACCACAGACATAATGGGGGCTTTCTGTTATTCATGTCATTCTCCCGAGATTCTTCTCCCAAATCAAAGAAAGTGTGAAAGCATGGAGTAGAACCTCTTCAGATAGTATAGTAATTTTCAAGAATGTTTCCATTGCTAGGCCGGCCTCTTCCCAAAATATTTAATGCTCCTATCAAGCATTAAAATACTTCACAATAGGGAGATTTTGGAAAACACTGGATTCACAGAGCAAATTGGTATCTACTTGAGTAAAAGCACTACAATCAGAGAGACCTGAGGAGCAGTAGGATCATAGTCCATGTAAGGGACAAGAACAGCTACTGTGGTCAGAGTAATGCATGAGCCCCTTTGCAAGGACAGGCCTGTGTTCCTCAATGACGTATCTGATTGTAAAGGGGACACCAGTAATATGTGTGTCTCCCTTTCAGATGAGTATTTGAAATCTCGACCTTTGTAGGTATTTTGGTTTACATCTAGGTAGAGGCCTATAATGGACCCTGGGTGCATTTTGACTTAGAGTGTATTTACAGTTCATATGAGAATGGTTAGTCTAGGACTGGAAAAGGGTGATTAGAGCCTGGTTTTGCCTAATCTCTGCTCTGGGAAGTCTCTATGCTTATGTTACTAAAAATGAATGACACCTAATGAAACTGAGGGACATGGCTTGTTGTTATCTACTGTTATTTACCTTACATGGAGAGAAGTTGGAGTATTTTTCGATTACATTTTTTCTTTGAGGGAATCTTCATTCCCATAAACCAAGTTGCTTATGCTATGTTTATAATGACTGCAAATTGTTAATGCTTCACTACTTCAATTTTTACCTCCTAAAATAATTAAATGGATGTTGCCTTAGACTTTGATTATGAACCTTTTGGATATCTAGAAAATACCAATATATATGATTTGGCATTTCTAAAATGCTTTCAGATTCAAATACATTTTTACTTACTATCTGGATAGTAAAATACTTCAAGCATAATGCTCCTTCTGGTCAGTTACTCTAGCATCAAATTTTAAAAGATCTTTCTGAAAATTTGTTTTATTTGGGAGAGGTCCTACACTAAAAACCCTCTTCATATCTGCATGTGGAAATAATTATAAATGCCATGTTACTGCAATATTTATTTGATAGACTATTAAATATCATTATGTACCAAGTACTATTCCAGATGCTTCTCAAATAACTAATTTAATCTTTACAACAAACTCATTTATTATGTCTGTTTTTCAGGTTAAAAAACTTAGAGGTTAACTTGCCCCTGGCCACAGACCTTGCAAGTGGCAGAGCTAAGATTTGAACTCAACCATTAAGCCCTAGAGTTCTTTAACTCCCAGTGAAGTGGTACAATTTCAGTACTATGATCAGAGGACTTTCCAAGGATGCTCACTGTGTTCTGGTACATTCATCTGCTATAGTCCTTATCAGAGTGTCTACAGCCTGTATCATATTTCCCTTGTTTCTGTGGGTGGGCCACCTAAGTTCTCTTCAGCTTGTTGGGACATTGATTGCATAGGGATTGCAACACTGTGGAAAAGAACAGACAATGAAATTTACTCAACTCTAATTCTTTATTTGGTTTAAAATGAAAGATTTACTGTTGCTTCTGTCAAATATTTGTGAGAAATCTGTGATCTCAAAATGATTTTCTGTGCAATACATGGAAAATGGAATGACGGAGTATTTGACTGTAAAAGTATAAGGAAAAAAAGCAGAAGGGAGCTATTAGTTTAGCTGGCAACCTAACTTTGGTGATTTTTGTTTTATTGGTATGATACAATATGATTTCTGCTTGTTCTATCCCTAATTACATTGCGAATCTTTTGAAATAAGCGATTTCTCCATTACTTCCATTACTATCTAGAAATCATGCTTAGCCTTTTCTGAAGGCATCTTTCTTTGAAAGTAAATACAGTTTCAAAGTCTGTTTATAAAAGTGAAATACAAGGGAAAACTTTTTCTTATTAACTTGGTGTGGCAAATTAGAAAAAAACTCATAGAAAACATTTCTACTTGGTAAAAAGTTATGTTGTTGATTTACTGTATTCTGAATGTTGTTTTAAGCATCTTACATGTAATAATTCAGTACATTCTCCTAAGAACCACGTGAGGTGGTACTATTATTATCTTCATCTTTACAGATGGAGAAACTGAGGTATTAACTAGTCTGATTATGGAGTTTGTAAGTAATGGAGCTGAGGCTGCATCCCAGGCAGTTTGGTTTCTATGGATTTACCATTGTCAGGGTAAGGACTTGTCAAATGACAAATGAAATACTAGCAAAAGGCAAAGAATGATTCTCCCTTTTCATTTGAATTTTCATCTGAAAATATTTCCTTGGATAGGTAACCAGCATTGATGTTGTTAGAGAGGTACATTTTAGAAATATTTGAAGCCAGAGAATGAAAATTTCACATGTAAAATCACTTTCAAATAGAGCCTTTAGTTATTCTATATTCTGCTGAGGTGAGATGATAAACCATATTAAGTAAAGAGCATTTTACTCTATCAACAAATGGAGGTATATCAGACTTTGTTCCTAGAACAAAATAATGGTTAAAATCCTTTTTATTTCTATTTTGAAAACTTTTAAGACCTGATTTAAATGTCATTCTTCTCATGAGCTCTCCCAGATTCACTCCTCCTTGCCAACACTGCCTTAAAGTTAATTATCTCCCCCCTTTTTTTTTTGCTCCCATAGGAATGGATTATGGCACTATTTATGTATGTAACTGTGATTTTTGTTTTGGTTAGCATTTATTAGTCTTCCTTTTGAGTGTGTGCTTCTCCAGATGGATGGATGTCTTCAATACATTCTCCCTAGTCCTTAATTCAACCCCCTTGGTGTGGAAGGGATTCAGTAAGTGGGGACTTGAACAAGTCATGAACAAAGAGAATGGGAAACTAGTGTTTCTTACCTATATTCAAATAGATGAATTAAAATGACGGGATAACCACAGGAAAAAGCATTTGAAGTAGATTTATATGAGAAACAAATAACTATATTTCAGGTTAGGTTTATGAAAGACTGAGAGATTTTAGTATGTACCTGTTATTTAATAAGGCCAGTTTACTTTTTGTAGCACAAAAAATCCTGGTGCCAGTCAGTTTCATTTCCCTTTCTGAGCAGCTGTGATTTGAGAAAACAGTATATATAGCTTGTGACATTTCACATTGAATACTTTGAACATTATTTTTTTAAAATAAGAGAATGAGATAATTCACTAAATAATTTAGAACTTAAGTACTTTCTAAAAACAAAATAATCTTTTATGCATAGGATTTATTCTTTTATTCATTCTTTTTGTGTGTATTGTGCATTTGT